TTTAATTTGTAACTAGAATTACAACATTTTTTTTTTCTGAGGATTACCCATTGTAAGATTGCCAAGTTTAGGCGATCACGAATCAAGTTAATCGAACAGATTCCTGCATTTAGTTGTTTCTTTCTTTTGTTTTTTTGGGTACTCAATCAGTGAATGCCACTTTGGAGTAACTTTCTTAAATGACAAGCAAGCATAGCACACAACCAACTGTGGATTAGCCTTAACTGTGACGAGCACAGCTAAAATTTCAAGTACACAAGTCATCAATCTCACCTATCAAAACTATATATACAATGATGATGACAAAAAGGCCATTTACAGAAAAACTTATATTGCCTAAAGCTCATGGATTCAGTACTTGTAGTTCACGAAAATGTCAAACGTTTAAGTCGAGGGAAAAATTAAAAAGAACGAACAAAAAAAAAGTTATATAAAAGAAAGAGGCAAAGAGGGGAGCTGTACATTCTTGTTTTATTAGGACATTTTGCACAAACAATGGCATAAGTGATTCAGCCGGAATGTCTTCTCTCATCATTATTGTTGTAGTGAAGCCAGCAATATAATATTTTCATATTCGACTGTGTAACCCTGCTCCATGTAAATCAAATGTCGACTGTGGAAGGTTCTTTTGTTGGGCTTGTTTGTGGTTGGGGAGCTGTTAGTGCATAAGTTAGGCCAGACGAAGAACTTTCGATGAGACCAGCAACTCCAGCAGCCGAAGTTTGAGCATTTGAAGGAAGAAAAAGATCATGCCTCTGGTCTTTATAAGCATTCCAAACCTGCAGATGGCAATTTGTCAACAATAGACAACGTATAACAGAATTTTAGTCGTTCCAAACCCGGGCACACCGTCAACAGATATGTTGAAACAACATACAAGAGAGAATTGTTATTTTTTTTTTGTTGATAAAATCTAATACACACGATAATTGGCACCGTATCTGAATTATATGAAATCAACAATCTCATGACTTTGAGTGTGTTAGGTAAACATCATAACCTAGCTTATAACTTATAAGCTTCATGCATGCAAATAAGCTTGACCCCAACTTGCTTGGGACAAAAAGGCTATGTTGTTGTTGTTGCATGCAAATAAGCTTGGTTTGAAAGGATAAAAGTTCGATCTTATCTTGGGTAGTTTTACAAACAAGCCCGTTGATCTGACTTCAGCTAATTTTACCAAATACATAACAGCTAGCTTTCCAGCCATCAGCCATAAGATATTAGTTATACAAGCTCGAAATTCACTTATAAGCTATCAACTAACTTATCAGTTCACCAGACATAGCTTTCATATGTGGATTAAGAGACCCACAAGAATCAGTGTCTAATAATTTGGCAAAACCTGATGACCAATTATTCTTGTTGGAGAGATGCATATATATCATAATTCAACTCTCAGAATAGGAGAGCTGCAACAGGTAATTTTTGTACCAAGGGGTTTTGATAATATCATCCAAAAATAAAACAGCAAAGATAAGCAGGAATAGGATTAAGGGTTTCAAGACTTACGGGAGATGCATTCAGTATGTCACGTACTTTGGTACAATACGCACCCTCTGTTGCAAATGCATGCAAAACCTACACGTAGAAAAAGAAGGGGTTATGACCATAAATGTCATGAAATAATACATAGCATAAGACTCACACTACTTCGAGTAGTCCATTACTACTATACCAGTATATACTCCCTCGATTCCAGTAAGGTTGTCTACAATTTTTTTTTAACAAAAAAAACTGTTATGTAGTTCAAAAAGACACATTGTTTGTTTAAACTAAAAGACATCACTTGAAGAACTAAACTAACTAAAGGCCTAGAAACGTTAAATGATACCAACCTCAATTGCAAGAACCCGACCAATTGATGCTTCTGACTCGTTCCAATTCATTTGAGAACGAAGACCATTTCTTCCCCCAGCTCGCCAATCAAGAAGACCAAGAAGAACTTCCACAAGACCAACCCTATAACAACACAAGCTATATGAGACTTGGATAACAACACAAACCAAAGCCACAATATTTAAGTGCAGGCCCCTGTAGTTCACGTAGCATTTGTATGAATATTGCTATTGGAGACTACGTTATCAGTTTTATCTAAATTCATACCCCAATACCATTCAAATAACGCTAATCACAGCCCAAAACAAGATCAGTTTTGACCCCGTGAATCGCAAGAAACTGAACCAGATTGGTTCCTAATCATTCTCAAGGCATTTAAGAACTAAGAGGATATAATAGGGATAATGGCATTAACACTTCTAAGGTTTTGCCAATGTTTAGAGTCTTAACTAAGTTTCATACGAAACTATTCTACAGCTCAGTGTCCATGAGATGCAGATACTTACCTCAGACCCTGTGCAACAAGTGCATCTCTTGCTCGATTCCCTGCAACTACAACACGCTTTAAGGTTTCAAGAGCAAGAATGCTTCCGCCTTGCCAACCGATGGCTTTCATCAGAAGTGGAACAACCTGGATAAAAAACCATCAGGATAAGACCACACTTAAAACACATATTTTACCAGAATCAAGCAAATTTACAGTATATATAGTCTGAACCAGGTACCTGGGGTGTCCCCACGCTAGTGGCTGCCATAGCTTCTGCACAGGTGGTGCTGCCTGCAAGCTGATGCAGAACACGCAAACAACTAAGACGAACTCGCTCCTGAGGAGTTTGTGAATTTTGCTGCAATGAAGCATCCTCGGTTGCCTGAGCTTCTGTAGCCATTGATTCTCTGCTCGATTCATAAGCTACTGCAGACACAAGTTTGGGCACATAACCGAGATATCCGACATGATCCCCGAGTGCAGGATACACCCTCAGTAAGGAGACGAGGGCAGCCGAAAGAAGTAGGGGAAGTTCAGTCTGAACAGGTTGGCCATCATAATGCGCAGATGCAATTGATGTAAGGTACTGATCCAGCAAACCTTCGAGAAATCTCTTGGGATTTCTTAGTGGAAATTTGGGATCTTTCAGGAATAATCTGACATAGATTCCTCCAACCTGGATAGAATAGATGGCATTAGTCTAAACAGAATCAACAAGTTTTTCAATTTGCGTTAGATCAACAGATCATAAGTTATACCTGAGGCTCATCCCTCATTTCTTGTTGTCCAGAGGCCTGTTCAGGTGCATCCCAATCAACATGTCCACTGACCTGTTCACGATACAAATCGGAAGCCATTGTTGCAATTTGTGCAGACAGAGAAGCAGCCATTGCTGGAGTCCACACGAGTTCTGGAGTTTCAGTGGTTTGTTCGAGGGCACTGACAACCGCTTCACCAGGACCATCCCTGATAACAGAGATGAGGCCATCAGGGAGAAATCTAGCAAGAGTTATTGCCACTCTAGGCCCATGCATCATCTGCCCGACAAGCTTCCCTAATAGTGAGGCTGCTGCTGCTCTTTGCTGCAGAGGGATCTCTTCTGCGCAGCATTTACCATTTTAGATATAAAACTAAAACCTAACAATAAAATTATGTGTACGAGATTGCAACATACCTTTTATTGGCAAGAGAACCTCAAGAATGAAGACAACCCCACCATGCTTCGCAGCTGCCCAAGCAAGCTCCGGCGTGCTTGCTAAAGCATAGAGAACATGAAGAGCTCCTTCACGACAGCTGGGAGATGCATGAAGCATCTGCAATAAAATAAGCAGACTCGAGCTATCTGCAACCATCGCCTCCAGGCAAGGAGCATATTGAGTCAAGCGTGATAACACACTTAAACATAGCTGAGGAATATTGCTTTCTGAAGCAACGGGAAGCGAAAAACACTCAAAGAGGGGTAGTAACTTTTCCTTTGTGGATACCACCGAAGCTAAATTGGGATTCTTCGTCAATAAGAGCTGGAATTGAAAATGAAAGGTGTGAGAGTCACCATTAATGTGGAAAGAAAGAATAAAAGCAACTAATTTGTACCTGGAGAGAAATCAGACCATATTGAAGATACTTAATTAATTCAAATTCATCGTCTTTGATTTTCCCATTAACTGGTGCTGAAGAATTATCAGAAGAAGGTTGTTCTTCGGGCGAGTCACTACTTATAGCACCATTATTATCATCCCTGCTTGGAGCTTGTGCATTATGCACTAGATGTGATATAAAATCAACCAGCGCAAGGCAAAAGTCCTCGGGCTCAGTAATTTCGAAATCCGGTTGATCATTATAGACCCTCAAATATACATTGCCAATATAGAGTTCCTTAGATAATGCTTCATAAACAAAAGAATGAGACTCTTTCAGGTCATATGAACCATTGTGACTGAGAGTTTCACTCTGCTCCTCCACGAATTTCAACAGCTCCGCTCGAGTGGAGGAGTTCCATATTATCTGCAGCTCAAAGATTAAATAGGTGAGACTATGTTATGACTAAGCTGAGGATTACTAATACACTCCAAATTGTATCATAACATATAGCTAATCAAAATGGCTCATCACCAAATTAATAGTCAAACATGAAGGATACTGTAATATATGACATGTTATCAACAATGAGAAAAGGCAATACTACCCCTTTTGATTTTATAGGCAATACTGTGGATAAGACTAGACATCCTTGATAACATCATACCTCTGAATTTGTAATGCAAACAAGTACATGGAACAATAAATAAAACTTGAATCAACAACAGAATCTCCATGAGAACTTCGAAGTTCAATAAAAAAAGAAAATCCTAATGGACATGAATAAGAAAACTTGCAACAGAACTAATATGTAAATATATTACAAGATTTTTTATTTATTTATGTTTTACTTTTTTCATCTCAATGCACAATTTGAAATTTTTACCTCAGGAGACTCCAAGTTTGAATTTAATGTGGACAAGAGGTCTTTGGCTAATTTATCTTTCAGCATGCTCGCAAGTTTCGGGGTCAGCAAAGCCCTAAGGGCATCAGAAGCAGCCTGGTTATAGGGTGTCTTGGGCTCACTGTTGTCCAAACCACTAACCCTTGATAAAGCATATGATGCTTGTACAGCATGAAAATTTTTTGCAATTTGTACGCTAACCCCAACACCATGTGCGTCAATCTTATCTGGTTCCTCGGCAGTTGAATCATACTGAAGCAGCAATGGTATAAGAGACCTGCCATAAAAAAGTTAACAACAAACCACCAAGCTTCATCCAATTAACAGTTTTTAACTGGAGAGACCATGCATCATTACAGCATTTTGGAGAATTGGTGTAGTAGTTTTTACAAGATTTACCATTTACAAACCAGTTGATGCAAGAAGTAGGGCAGGGGAAAGAAACAGAAACAGAAACATCACAAGCATAAGTGAACAATATAATTGAAATTTGTATATAAGTTAAGATAGCAACAGAAATAACAAGAGTAAAGGATAGATGAAATAAATAGAAAAAAGAGTGCTGCGAACTTATATGTACATATATATAAAGAGCTTTGGTTGGAGATCCACCAAGCAACTGATTATCAGAAGGACAGAATAGTGAAAAAGGAAATACTAATGGCAACAAGAAGAAAATAATAATGAAGTAACAAAATAAACAAACACAATGATGTCTTCCATTTGGATCCAATCAAGGTCGGAAAAGTTAAAGAATCAGAAAGTGGAAATGTGAAATGAAGAAAATCTAAACCAACTTCTAGTGTTAGTTAAACTTCCTGAAAACAGAAATCACATTCTTAAACATTGGATCACGATATAAGTAAAAAGTAAGAGGATATAACATAGTAAGTAAAGGAGTATATCATTGCTTACCACAGCACACCAGCCTTCAGAAGGGCGTTCTGAAATTCGGACGAGACAGAAACATGAGCAATGGTCTGCAAAGCAGCATCAATAGCAGTATCGACAAGCTCAAGTTCAGTGCAGTGAATAATGTCCTCAACTAATCCAGGAAACTCAAGCATCTCAGTTCTGGCACTATCAAATTGGCTTAAAACAGAAAATGTTTTCATTATGTTAGCAACAATAGTGGCAGAAGATTCAGTCGCAGGCGTCGTTGGTTGGACGACACACATGCAACGGCAAAGGAGGGTAGCAAGAAGAGGTATTCCACCATCTCTGACAAGCTCTTCACCATTTAACGAAGAGGACTCACACCTGGAAGTAATCAGTGATTGAGTTACACATGCTTTAACATCATTTTATGTACTATTATTAAGAAGCAAGGAAATCTGAAAGGTTAATGAATTTACGTCAGCCAAACAAGCTCCGAGGCTGCAACTAGAAGAGGAGCACGATCAGAAGAAAGAAAATTGCTATCGTCCTTGTCCACTGTAATGGCGTTTAACAACATCGGATACCCAGCGTATTTGAATGGCATCAGTACATTCCCATAGCGCCTATATAGTATGCACTGGCCCTTTAGGAGAAGTAACAATCTCCAAGTCTGCGGGCCTTGCAACCCTTGCATGGTAACCTAGGGCACGGAACATGGATTGCAGTAAATCATTACAGAAGCAGACAAGCATTGAACATGAATGGCAAAATATTGACCAAGTAAAGAGGGTAAAACATTAATCTGCCAATTTGTCTCATGCATCTAAAGTAATCTTGGTGAAAAAAACAAGACATGGAAGTATCATCTGTTATATAAGAAATTCAAGCATAGATAAAGCCAACGCAAGAAAATACATATATCTCGTATCCTTTTACAGTTAAAGAAGGCAGAAACGCAAGAATGACCCACTTCAGCATCTCTATAACACAACTTAATCTGCTAAAGAACCAATGTTTTAGGGCATTCTTATCCTTTCTTCAAACCAGTGTTATTAATAGCGGATGGCGGTACATGGCGGCTTGCCATAGCCTATGGCGCCGCAATGACCGCCACATTCACAAATTTTGCATGGTGGATAGTCAAAAATCCGCGACGCCATACCGCTGTGGCCCCGCATGGCAGCCATTTGATAACACTGCTTCAAGCTTAACCATATCTTCTACTTCAATGTTACTGTATTAGAAGAGGTCGTCACTCAAAATCAAGGAGCTGAGCATACCTGCAGGCATTCATAAGCTTTCTGCACTGCCAGAAACTTCTCCCTCCCTTCAGGATTTTTGTCAGGATGATACTTCATTGCCAGTTTCCTATACTGTCGTTTGAGTTTTTCCTCATCAATATACTCAATTCGCTTTGCTGTGTCAGGTATCTCCTCAATTGATTCAGAACTTGTTTTCCAAGGGATGTCATCTCTGGATACTTCTTCAATTGAAATCTCAAGTATCTTGCAAGCCTCTCCTTCAGAAAGGTCCATTGGCCTTCGAGTTAACTCTTCTCGCCACATAACTAGCAATGATTGTAAAAACTCCACATGTTCAACGATTGGCCAATTAGGAAATCGAATTTCATCACACAAGTTTCTGAGATAATAGCGGTGACACCACATTTCATCTTTCAGCTCCGGATACGTCACTGGTGGCATGGGAGCATAATCATACATAGAATGACAATGCTGTGACAATTTCTGAGGGAAATCACCAAGGTGCTGAAGAACCTGAAAATATCCCACTTCAAGTTAATAAAAAAAAAATGACATGGAAGAATCGAAGGGATGTGAAAAGCCTATGAAAGGGATATTGTAGCACAAGCTATGACACTCATTGTCCAGCTCCAACTTATACTTTTCACCTGTGTGTTAGGTGAGGAATACGAAAACAGAATTCTGGGATGTAATTACTGATGGGTGATGGTATGACTGATAAAACTGGTATGATGGAGTGGACTCTGATACAAATGGAATGGTTTGAGAATAGAATAAACAATAATAATATGAAGGAGTGATACAAATATTACCATCCACATGCTCGCTACAGAAATGAGACAGGAATAGAATAATAATTATCTCCCATTAAATATTAATAGAAAATTAAATTATATTTTTATATTAGATTTATTTCGTGTTTGTGTTCTTGTACAAAACAACATATATGATATTAACATAAATTTTATATTATTCTATTCTTCATATATAGTATAAAATAATTACTATATAAACAAATACTCTATCTAACCTTATATAAGTATATGGATACCTAAATAAGTTTCTTAGAATTAGTCTATAAATATATTTAATTTATGAAGATATATATATATATATATATATATATATATACGAATCAATTAACAAAAATTATGAAAACAGTTTTTATGGAATAGTCTAGTTATTTATTAATAATTTTATTCAATCAACTTATTTTTTTGCTTTAATATTTCTATCTAACCTAAATATTCAATAATAAATAAATAAAGTTCATTATTTATTGTGATTTTTTAAATAAATAGTTTTAGATATAACCTATTGTGAACAACAACAACAACAACAACAACAACAACAACAATAATAATGATAATAATAATAATAATAATAATAATAATATAATTATGTAACATTTATTTATTCATTATTTATTATTAGTCTTTTGGCTTTAATTTTGAGAAAATAAAATAAATTTAATTCCCGAAAGAATGCAACGCATAAAACCATAAGGTAGCTAACTCATGCCATATCCATTTCATTTGTTATATTACACCAACCATGTCATTATAGTATAACCGTGATATGGCTTTGATCCTAGAGGCATGTATCCTGGCCCCATCAAAAAAATTGGATTACCTGACAGATAAGATTTTCTGCCCGCATCTTGTGTGTCCAAATAATCTCAGGAGTGTCAGAATCAGAAACCATTGCTGCTGCAAAAGCAATTGGCCCACTTCGTTCCAATACATATAACAAAGATTCAGGCAAGAGACCGCCCAAAACACTGCGTTTTGCCAAAGGCAGAGATGATGAAACAGCAGCTTCCTCGCCACCATGAAAAGCTTGATAAACATGAGTCACTGAAAATAGTTGTGCAATTGACAGAAGATTAGATCCAGGGTATGCCAGGGCGAAATAAAATGCGCCTGTACTGTATAGTCGTATCATGGCTTTAGGATTCCTTGTAACTATAGCCTTCAGCAAAGCAGCAGAAGCCTCAACAATACTTGGTTCACCGGAAAGTATTGCCTGCAAATAGGATAATAATGGAAAGAAAAGGTTATATTCACAGCCTTATGATCCAAACGCAAGTTAAAACAAAATAGAGGCAAACTACTAAAATTAATAAAGGAGAAAATATATATAAACAATCATAGACCTATCACATAGACCCATCCTTTAAGTTAACAAATACATAAGGTGTGTGTTTCCAAAAAACTTTGTGCTTCATGTGTGAAAAGAATTTGAATTTCATAATAAAGGCTTCAAACAGAAGTGGTGATCCCTCCATCGTCAAACAATTGAAGAAATTAGGAGATAATAAACCAAAAGGTGAATACATTTTTGGTAATTCTCCATAAACAAAATGGGCCAGATTGATGTACAAGCAAAATCCAATATGCTGACAACCATAGTTTTCAATAGCAAATGGCGAGGCGAGGCGATTGGCCCATGGCCTCGCCACGAGGCGAGGCCTCGGCTACACATATCACCAAAATTTAGAAAAACAATATTATAGATTGTGCATTTATATAGTTGTGTACAAATGATAAAAATAACATCAAATAACTCCATCAAATAACTCCTATAAAGGCAAGTAATTGAAACACAAACACCACTTAAGAAAGTAGTTGAAGGTTTTTGAAGGTGAAGATTTTTTTGCTTATGTCCTCAGTCCGGTAAAACCCTAGCTTCGTGGGTCTGGGAGATGAAGGAAAAAGGAGCCCGATGTGCGTTTTTTTTATTCTCTTTTCCAGGAAGTGTTAACACGCATTTATTATTATTATTATTTTAAAATACGGGGTGGTCTGTGCCTTTAATTCCCCTGAAAGGCGCCGAGGAGCGCCACACAGGCGCCTCTCACCACGCGAAAAGGCGAGCCGAGGCAACCTGAAGCGAGCGCCTCGCGAACAGGGTCGCCTCAGGCAGTGGCGAGGCGATGTGGCCCTCGCCTCGGTCGCCTCGCCTCGAGGCGTCGCCATTTTAAACTATGCTGACAACTTTTACTAGACTACTGCCATCCAGAAAATTGTGAAACTCCCCCACACATGCATATATCAAAACATATTTCGACTTAAGCCAATAACAACACTATAGCACTACCTGGAAAAAAACATTCACCATACTGGACAAACTATATGGAACCATGTAATTACATTTGTGTTCATTTCATTTTCTTCACTCATGTCTCTTGGTCTTGGAACACCAAATCAACATAGACATTACTACATTAGTAAATAAGAAACTTAAAAGGTAACTGCGATAGTATTCTCAGCACTTGTGTTATTCCAATACTTAAGGGAGTAGACTCTTGTTCCATTGGAAACAAAAAGATAACTAATTGAAGGACACACACCTGAGCTATATGTGGAAGGCAACGTGGACTTGATAAGATTCGCTTCACTCTAGGCGTTGGCGTAACAATCTCTCCTGCATCATCTATATCCGAGTGAGCAGCTACCATGCTGTGTAATAAGGACAAGGCCGCCTCTCCCACCTGTAAAATTTACCAACCCATTTTCAGAGCATTGTAAACAATGATCAGACATAATCCAACATTAGACACTATAATCTCACCAAACAACTGCCTTCAGGTCAAGCTATTTATCCTATGGGCACAAATCTAGTAAAAATAATTTGTCATCAATTCCTCTATGCTACCTGGACTCGGATATGGGTGAGTATCGGGTGTGGAGATATGAGCGTCCGACTCATCAATAGTTTAAAAATCTTGAACATTTTAAGCTAAAAATGCCACACCCGACACTCATACCCACACCAATGTCGACACAACATGACACGGGTATTCTTCCTAAATAGAAGAGTCCGGGTAACATAGCAATTCCTTATTCAAATACATAGATCATAAGCAGATAAAAATACTTATTAAATGCACTAATTAACAGTCGGAAAATCATGCTATATAGACAACTATGGAAATAAGATAAGCCGTATAAATTGACTTGCAACGACTCTGTTGCTATTATGCTAAATAAAAATGTTCACACATAATTTGATCTAGAAGAGATGAGCAATTTTAAGTTTTTAACATACAGTCTTGCAAACACCAAATATGTGGTTATCAATGTTCGAAAGATGACCTCAATATTTTTCACTCAAAACAAGGCTATGGCTACCTTTTAGTTTAGTAATAAATGCATGAAAATTGTGTTTCAGAGCCCATAAATGCCTCCACACTCAAAACAGAACAATAACATAAACAATAATAGCAGTGAAAACAGCTATAATAACAAAAATAACAATAATAACCATCCCCCACACAAAAATAAAAAGATGAGCATTTTTTTAGAAACGAGACAATAGTGGTAGAAATTAATGTACATAAGTTTTAAGTTGATTCATACTGGGCATAATGATTCTGCTGAACATTCAGTACCTGGATGGGAGTAAGAACCGGGACACGAAGAGCCATAGCCCATCGAAGTTCACGTATATCTCTTAATCTCTTCCAGTCTGCCATCCCAGGGGCCCAGCATCTGGTTGTCCAGTTGATTTCTTTTATTGACCAAAATCTTCTAATTGCATCCTTCTCCACCGGCCCAATTTTTGCATTGTCCTTGTCTATGAACATCCACTCCTTTAAGGGCTCCATAAAAGCAGTTGCAGCAATTAAGTTCGACTGCAATGGTATTGCAGTTCTTTCCGAAGCTTCATGAACTACTGTCAGTAAATCAACAGCAAGCACACATCCTCCAACCAAGACACATGCTTCCACATTTGAAAGAACCTTCATCAAAACCTGCAGAGAAAGAGAAATGTCAGGTACATTTTACTAAATTAATGTCATAGATTTTCAACCATTACTAGGTTCATTTTATCCATTAACTCTTTTTGCCTTTTCTTGTTCTCACTCCCTAGCAAGTGTTTTACCATAAACTCAATGTTTCCCAGTTGAATATAACTAAGATCGTGGTGTCACCCTCGGCAGTTCCGATTCTATCATAAAGTCATCCTAGGAATTTGAAAACTCTGAACAGTAAAACTATGTGCATCAATTCCTGGCAAAAGTAAGTGCTACATCCAACATGATCATAGTAGCAGAAAATTTAAGAAAGGGATACCAGTACGTGAAAGACCACTTATAGCATTCTATCCAGCATTTCCTCCTATTACTCTTGACCAAGATTCAAGACTACTCAAAATTAGTCATAAGAAGATCTTTAACTATAAAACACGAAAGTAATCTATAGAAGCCACACTAACAAACAAGTCCTGTTTTTGTAGTAACGAATGGTGATTTTTTTGTCCAAATCCTAAATTAAAACCTAATATTTGTTTAAGTCAAAAACAAAAACCACACGTTCAGATATGAACATGTGTAACTTTTACACAAGGCATATTGGATCTCTACTGTTACAACACCAATAGCAACAGGTATGCACAAGTTGGATTTGACTATAAATTGTCTGTGCTTCATTTAGAGTTGCTTCCGCTACAGCAAGGTAAGCATGATCTTTTCAAACATGTGAAGTATCATGTCCCAGCTTTTGTAGGCACCATTTCAAATTAAAGCTGTGCCACAGTCAATGCTATGGAGATCTTCCCATATTCATTTATAATGCGTGTTATTCAAATGAAATGGAGATCTTCCCATATTCAAATGAAATGGAAAATCTAGCACCTCTCTTTCTGTAGTATCCGAAACATCAGTTACTCAAATCAAGGCCAAGTGGGAGCATACAGGGACATAGTGCTGCCTCAGTGTAATGGCAAGCCTAAGGTCCTTTTCAAGCAGTGTGAGCCACACTAACCACCAGAAACCATAGATTTGAGGCTCTGCATCTCACGAGTTATCGTTCATAGTTGTAAAGACTACAAGAAAAGGAAAACAGAAACCAGAAACTTTCAGGTTCTTCACTCAAATAAGCAAAACTCAGTGCCCCCCCTTCCTCTTCCTCCTGCTTTTTTAATTTTGCTCCTCTTCCCTTTCCTTTTTTCCTATTTTCTGTATCTTATTCATTCAATTTTTCATTCAAAGCATGCTGAATTTTCCAACATAAATGTTACTTTTGTGTGGCTCAGGCTGCAATCAGTTCATTTCTGTAACTTGAAGGCGGAGACAGAGAACAGCTTTCTAATATTTTATGAAGTATGACAGAAAAATATACATGGAAATTTCTACAACCAAGTGCCAAAATTCCATTATCTTCACTAATTTGCTGAAAATTTTCTCGAATATGACAAAATTATGCTGGTTTTCTGTTCTTCATCATTCGACTGCATAAGTTTCTTTATAAATGTTACAAGTAAAACAAGTATACTATAACAGCAATTATCTAACTGACCTCAGATCAGTAAATGGGTTTCAAGAGGACCTGACTATCAAACAATATGCTAAATAAGTTCCTAAGTGTTTATCACACATCTCTATTCAAGATTTTATTTTCTTCCTATAGAAAATTTTATGCCTCTTTACCTTCAGAAGGAGGAGAAGACGGTGTCTTAGAGCTCTATCATTTGTCCTGTCCACCAGTACTGTAACATGAGCAGTGCCTTCAAATGCGCCTATGGAGTTGTAATGTTGTTCATATACAATTGCCATAGCCCTCGCGCAAAGTTCTCTGACTGAGGAACCTCCACCTCCTCCAAAACCATCTAATCGTCCCATATCACACCAATCATCTGAAGGGCCCATTTCATCAGGAATGGTGCCATCCACTGTCAGTCCAGTGTCTGCATCGCACAGGAATCGATGGTAAAGTGCTCTGAAAAATGCTACTGGGTCACGCAGGGGAAAATCCTGTGCTCGGCCACCTGTACCACTCTCGAGGAGAAGCCGAAGGTAATACTGACCCACGCAAACTTCTTTACCCAAGCTAGGGTACCGAACAGCAAATTCTGTATAGTTCCATGATATTTGAGGTGCAGTTTCCTGCCCTCTTGTAGTTACTTCACTTGTACCTCCAGGAACAATATCTTCAGTCCGTTCCTTCTCGAGGTCAAGTTTATGAACCTCAGCCTGCAAAGCCTCCATTAACTCCTGCCTGGTACGCTCATTCCAGATCAAATCTGCACGGTTGTGATCAAGTCCAAAAGCTCGCCAAAAATCAGGCCAATTCAATAGCAATCTTCCGCATCCCACAGGTGCATTCTCCACAACCACTTGGGCTGGAGCTGATAGGCCAGTTGCACCAACTTCAGATTCACTTGTGCTTGTAGCATTTGTTTCAACCGATTCAAATGCATTGGTTGTGTGCTTATCTGGAGAAGCTAAGCCTGATGACTGATAATTTGGGGGGACACCTGCAGCAGGAAGCTCATTGGAGTTGTTTTCGCCAGCATGAATAAGAGAAGAATGAACAGATGGAACCTGTCCACTGTTTTGATCGCCAACAGAGTTTCGATAGCCATCTGAACCTCCAACTGCATAAACACTTGTCTGCGGTACATGATTGCCATCAGGGTCATGAACAGAAGGCAGGTTATGTCCTTGGGATGGTATTCCTTTCACTGGATGATTTCTCCTCTGCTGAAGTAAACGCCTCTGTCTTCTACTCATTAAGGAAACTTCCTGATTAGATGCATCTTCATCAGAAACTCCATTAGATCGAGTATGCAAATATGCGACCAGCCCTGGTGGCAGAACCCTGGAGAGCAAATCAAGGGCGGGTTGGTAAGAGTCCGCCCACAGAGCCACAAGCTGTCGGCTGACATCACGCCTTTCACCAGCGGGAAGGTAAAATGCGTGCAACAAATGCCTCAACAGCGCACCATCGCGTAAAGCGGCATCCCGCATTGATTCTGCTGCAACTGCATCTTCTTCCGCTATTGAACGCATAACTACAGCCACAGTTTCCCGTACACTTTCTGCAGGATGTCCAAACAATGCAAACAAGCGACGGCGTAAACCAGCTACAAGACGTAATAATTCAACAAAAACCGTGTATTGGGTTGTTTCACTGTGCGGTTCACATATCATTGCTTCAAGGACTTCAACAACAGCCATTGACAACAATGGTGATACGGAGATTGGCTTCAACCTGTTAACAACAACAGCAAGGTTGCTTTGTTCAGCAAATAACACACTTTTAGTGTGCATAATTGTTGCATGTTGTTCTCCTTTTGTATCCGCTAAAATATTTGTATCCCCTGTCCCACCACCAACAAGCATTGCAATAAGTCCCGTTGTTTCGGCTGCCACTCCCTCAGAACCATTTCTAAGGAGACCCATAATTCTACCAACAGCAGCAGGAAATGACATCACGTGTGAAGCAGCATTTTTAGAAGCAAGCAACCTTCGTAAGCATGCAATAAAACCAATTATAGTAGCAGCTGCTTTAGGGGAAGGTGGTGGCAATGGCAGGGATTCCGGCGGAAGATTGGGAGTAGATGGAAGCAATGTAATTAATGCCATCAAAGTCACTTCAGGTACTTCAATACTTGAAGGAACCCCACTAAATGGAATGCACGCGTTAAATTCTCTAATCCGGCGCCACAATTTAGCTCTTGAGCCAGGGATAGAGCCTCCTTCAGCTACAGCATCTTTGGCAGCTGCTGCCAAATGTTTCAAATGCATCATTGAAGATTCAATGTCAGCAACAGGTCTATGTGGATGTTGGGCATATTGTAAAGAAACTCTGCCGCAAGGAGGATCAATTCGATGACCAGGCATAGTTAGCCTTGGCAATATTGGCACTGGACATTGGCCCTGCAAAAGCAAACACCACCCCCATGTTAAAACATAAAAGAAATAAAAGATAACAAGGGTAACATTAAGAACTCAATTTCCATCAATAGCAAATTGCAGGCACAAGCAAAGCAATATAATAAAAGTAACAGGTATAGAACTATTAAGACCAACACAGAACAAGCAAACAATCTACTCAAAGCATGTTTCCAGTTGGAAGTTAACCACAAAATCGATCTACCTACTTCGGTTTGCAAAACATCCAAAACTGCTGCAAGTAAGCTATCACGAGAGGTGCTAGCATACACCTGAAATCAGAATCACATTTAAACAATAGTCACATTTCAGAAACTCAAACCTTAACAATAGAAGACATATAACTCAGTAGACATAAGTACTCACGTGAATAGGACATCCATCATTAAATTCAACAGCAAACATCTGTGGCTCCTCAGAGAATCGGACAAGAGCACTAACTGAAGATAAAGGTCGAACAATAACAGCCTGCACACATTCAATTTCAAATACATCAAATAAGTTAATCTAAGGATTTTGTAAGACTTTTAAATCTCAACTGAATAGCTCAAGACTTTTATAAAAAGTCTTGACAAAACTAAATTGAATACACTAAAATTTATAAAATTTTAAGAAGTCTTTATAAATTCCAATTGAACGCACCCTTTAAGATTTCATTGAATTCTCCTAAAATCTAAAAATTAGTCTAACAAAAATCCACTAATGACATTAGATACATGAACCAATCACGAAATAAGCAGTAAAGCATGTTCATAACAACGAATTAGGAAACTAGAGAGACCCAAGGAAAATGTCAGGAATATAGAAATCAAGAAACTCAACCAACTATATGGCATGAACTATTTTTGCATTTATTTGCAACAACTCGGAATAACAGACACACTCGTGATTAGCTTTCATCTCACGCATTTGTTCATAATCTACATGTGATCAAAACAAGCAACCAAAGGCGAACAAATATTAAGCAGATTAACAGAAGATAAAAGAACATATTGCCACTGATCAACAGACCCAGAACGAGACAATATTCTCAACAAACAAATAAGAGTTAAAACAGAACTGCCATATTTTTACCTAAAGCAAAAGAAAAATATCCATGTCAAGGCAGACCAAAAGAATACAATTGGTCATCATTGTAAACATGCAAAGGGAAAAGCCAAACAAACCACACTCGGTCGCAAATTATAATGAGTTCATTTAAAAATGTTTTTATATAAAAATCTTATGCATATTACTTTGGCAGATTTTTTTTCTTTGGATGATATTGGGGCACCTTCATAAAAAGTATGTAGGTTTTTTTCATAAGTATGCAAGAAGGTTATGATTTTTTCCATATGAAGTGCATGGCTCATCAGATCGAAACAAGCTTACTTCATAGTTTTCTGGGCGTCTTTCGACAAGTGAGGATTTGGTGAGAATAAGTTGGCGAGACACAGCATCACCCAATTCCCCAAGTCCTCCTTTCGGTCCAAGTGCTAAACTCAATCCAGCAGAATGTAGCATACCATGAGCACCTGTTCGCAACCTCGTAACAGCCCAACCACCAAGAGGAGTCTCTTCTGCCCCCACAGCTTCCTTAACTACATTAAAAAATATTGGAACAGAGAAGACATCAAAAGCACGTCAACTAAAATTAAAATTGAACATGCAATGTTGTAGTTAAAACTTACCTCTTCTCTTCATGTATTCTGTGATGGTAAGAGATTGAGAACTATCAACCACTAATGACACCCCAACCATAGAATTTGCAGTTTTAGTCTGGGAGACAATGAGCAAAAAAAAGAAAAAAAAAAAAAAGAGCTAAGTACATAGGAGGAGTAAAGAAAACTGCTCTTCACCACTTGTAACTATATCACGTAGATCAAATTGTATATAATCAATGAATTTTTTAACTAAGAATAACATCTGGAAGAAAGCATATGTGCTCCGTACTAAATTTTCAATAATAGAAGCATTTGAAGCTCCTGAAGCAGCTTGAAAGGCTTTAGATTTTCTTCCATACAGAGAACAAAGAACAAATCCACCATGATCCACATTTTTCCTCCCGTAAGCTTCAGCGAGAAGAACTATGGCTGGAGAGTCCATATCTCTGAAATCTAAGCACCAACGAAGGTCTCCGGACTTCAAATCTATCACTTCAACTCCGACATACGTAACTCTCATTTTCTGTAAAAAATAAGTTAATAACAGTTATAGAACAAAATATTAATGCACAGACAAGGCAAGTAAAGCAAGCCTCATAAATTATTCATCGTACAAAAGGCAGCTGTGCAGTTGTGAGTTGTGACAATACAAAAGTGGGAAAGTAATTGAACTCATTTAAATACTTGGCCATCTCTCTGCACAAATATGCAACCACTATCATGTTATAGTCTTAGCTTCTGTTCAATCAACATATATAAAGGTCAAAATCCATACTTCCATAGTTACATGTTCATAATTCAAGCATCATAAACACAAAGATACACATACTTCAGTCGTATATGTTATGGAAATAATACAATTCCCTCAGGTTGGCTTAGAGGTTACAGAAGGTTAGCATTACTAAGAAAGAGGTCAATGCAATTAATTGAGCAGCATTTGATTCAATTTTGGGTGCAAATGTTCTGGAACAAATTCAACCATTTTTCAATATTAGAGCATCTTTTACACTAAAATAGTGCAATTCCTAAACCAATTTTAAAAGCTATTTCCAACCACTCTACTTCAAATTTTGCACCATAACAAACATTCCTTACTATTCAATGATTCAATCCTCAATACAAAAAAGTTAATAAAAAAAACTATTTGTTGACCATAACAAAGACATGATTCGTTAATACAAATTTTTATTTCAATATTACATTCGATGTGTACTATATGAACTAATCATTAATATGCATTTAAAAGTTAAGTATCATGCATCAATAAGGAAAAACTGATCTTCACGATTTCGAGAATAAAACTACAAATTCAAATCATTGCATAATTATTAAATAATTTTTCAAATAAAGAAAAAAGTTGCTAACTGAGATATTGCATTATGATAATAACCTTTACGAAAAGAGGAAGATCAATGCATTAGGATATAAAATTCCCCACCAATCAAAAGCAGCTCTAAAGAGTTCGTACAGGTCAATATTGCTCCTCAAATAAGCAAACATCTAGCGATACAACATTCAAAAATGATGAATGAGTCTAGCTCACACATAGTATAATGATAGTAATGCTTAAAATCATCATATCCATTCCCAACAGTTGAAATGGCATAATAGCATCCTGAAGTATTATAAAACTGTTTCCCTTGTGAAGAAAATAGTTAACCACTACGACAAATGAGCTGTCATAAAAATTTAATCTTTCTTATGTTATCCAATACTCCCATATCTTACAGTTTTGACTTTCTACACTCAGCAAAAACATAACAGTAAGTCAGTAACCAATACTGAAGTATTCTACCTAACATAATTATACACACACATAGACAATTTATACATACAAAAATATGCACATTGCATAAACCTTTAGTCATCAATGACCTCACTTGCTAATAGTAGCACTATGTCTGAACTCTAACCACTCAATCATTCACAAGAAAGAAGGGAACCTAGTCCCGGAAGGGTCATCAACACCCACCATAGTGATCACTGCCAACTTAAATGCCCGGACATTATGAACTAACGAACCAAAGTGACAAACTGAGGAAAAAAAATCCCACAGAATCAGCCAAAACAAGCACTCGAGAAGGAATGCGTCGATAAAACTTACTAAAGGGACCCACTCCGAAGTCCTCCTTCGCAGGTGAAGTACGGGAAACTCCACAACAATTGACAGTCTATTCCACCTTATCCGGTGCAGCTCGGTCAGTATACTAGCCCTATACCGGGACGAGAACTTGATGCCTTTGAACTTTCCCCGTCCATCTGTCCTCACGCTGATATTGAACTCATTGAAATTCTCGTCCCTCCCCATAATCGGGGCGGCCCCTTCAAAATCGCAGCCGACATCATACGAATTAGTGACGGCCAGCGTCCCAGGATCCAGGGTGATGATCGAGTAACCAGATATGCATAGAATTCTCTTATAACGGCCCCGCCACGAGTGCTTGACGACCATGTACCGGGCGAGGTACTCGGGCTCCTCGGGCGGAGGCGCAGCGGCCGCAGCGGCAGGCGGGTGGTCCGCGTGGCGGCTAACGAAGTCCATCTGCGGGTCGGGGAGATAGCGGAGGGAGTGAGGCTGAGGAGGGCTAGGCCGTAGGAAGGACCATATCCCACCCGCCTGAGGCGGAGCTGACGGCAGAGGGCTCTGCCTTGACTGATTGGCACCCAGAGCTCCAGGAATCTGAAAACCCTAAGGCGGTTTACTGAAGAGCCGTGGAGATCAACTCGCGGTAGAGCCGATCGGCGCGTAAACCCCAATCACTACGCGTATGCATTCAGAAAAGATCGCTGCGGATGGATGAGAGTCGGATGAACAGACAACGATCGCGCGCACAAAAAACACGCACAGCGCGAGGCAATTAGGATCGAGCGAGGGCTGAGGAAGAAGAAGATGATTGCTGGGTGCGTGGTTAATTCATCAAAAATGGCTAAAGCGCAGTTGTGAATTAGAATACAATTTCCCAAAGGATAAAAACCAGTTAGGATTACAGATAATAATAGAGAGAAGAAAACGGAGGGCTCCACAGTCCCAAATACGTGAGACAGTGGAAAGCAACTCTCGGCAAAATTCATTTTTTTCATATTTTGAACTTTTCAACATTGGCCATGTTTGGTGAACTTATGCCACATTTGCTACATCGGATGGGATATAATAAAATTTAGTCTTATTTCATAGGATTGGGATGGGATATAATAAAATGTTTGGTATGATAAGACGAGTTTTTTTCAAAAAGTTCGATTTTATATCATAAATATATTTGTGTAGCTTTTCAGATAAGCCGGTTGAAATTTTTATCGCACCGACGTTAATTTTACCAAACACTTCTACCATATAAGTTAACTTTTCAACCATAAACTATCAACCACAAGCTCGAAATTCACTTATATAAAACTTATAGATGAGATGAGTTATCAGCCAATTTTATCAATATAGCCTTAACTGACATCTCAAACACATGGACAACCTAGGCATCCATGGCAGCTTGGTTCGAGCAATAAGGGAGCTCATTGGTCGAGATTGGGTGGTAAGTGTGACTCACTGTTATAAGGAAGTCAATTTTACGGCCAACTGTTTAGCGACTCTAGCTCACCGGTGTCCGAGCGGTTATCAACGGCTCTCAAATCCACCGTCCGCAGTTATACCATGACTACAACATGACCTTGTTGGCATTGCGTACCCGCGGTGTATAACTGTCTAGCGGTTCTAGGCTTTTGCCTCCTCCCTTTGTACCAAAAATAAAATTATCTAAACGAGACCACAAAATAGCTTACTAAAATATTAAACACCATAACTGCAATAGCTTATTAACATCTCAAACACCACCTTTCTTCATATATTGTTACAAATTTTACAACCCTACAACGATATTCAAATCCAATACACTACTTGGG